TTTTACACACTTTTGTCTAATTAAATGCCTATCCACATCTACATTGATCAGTATTATGTAAACATCAGTTTAATCCTTAAATTGCATCCTATTAGGTAATAGAACTCTACCTAGATCAGTTACCAGAGGGTGATGAAGTTCTTGGAATTTTACGCCAAGAACATGCACAGCTTAACATCTGGGTCAATTTGGCCGTATGTATCTTTAATTATTTAAGAATATGTGTAATAGAGAAGTATCACATAGTAAAACACATTGATTTTTATTGTAGCTTGAATATTACAAGCAACACAAAATTGAAGATTTTATTAAAATACTTGAGTCTTCTCGAATTGATGCTAATATTGATTACCGTGACTATGAAAAAGATCAAATGCGTGCATTGGATATGTTGGCTGCATATTATGTGCAAGAAGCCAACAGAGAGAAGAATAAAGATAAGAAAAGGGATCTGTTCACAAAAGCCACACTATTGTATACAACAGCTGATAAGATCATTATGTATGACCAGGTACATGTTGTTTATAATGTAATTGGTGCTTAAAATTGTTTGAATATTTTTTAAATAATATGTTTTACATTAAAGAATCATTTACTTGGCCGAGCTTACTTTTGCCTCTTGGAGGGGGATAAAATGGATCAAGCAGATGCCCAATTTAATTTTGTGCTGAATCAGTCTCCCAACAATATTCCCTCCTTACTTGGTAAAGCATGCATAGCATTCAACAAAAAAGATTATCGTGGTGCCCTTGCCTTTTACAAGAAGGCATTAAGAACAAACCCAAATTGCCCAGCTGCTGTAAGATTAGGAATGGGACACTGTTTTATGAAGTTAAATAATCAAGAAAAGGCACGTCTAGCATTTGAAAGAGCTTTACAATTAGATGGTCAATGTGTTGGAGCATTGGTTGGGCTTTCAGTTTTGAAATTGAACCAACAACAGCCTGAAAGTATCAGAACTGGTGTACAAATGTTATCAAAAGCTTATACAATTGATTCCACAAATCCTATGGTGTTAAACCATTTGGCTAATCATTTCTTCTTTAAAAAAGACTATAATAAAGTACAGCATTTGGCACTTCATGCATTTCACAATACCGAAAATGAAGCTATGCGCGCCGAGAGTTGCTATCAATTAGCCAGAGCATTTCATGTTCAGGTAAGTTTATTTTCAGTATAAATGAATTTATATATTTATCAAAGTTTTAACAAGTAATTCAATTATTCTAGGGCGACTATGATCAAGCTTTCCAATACTATTATCAAGCAACTCAATTTGCACCCCCAGTTTTTGTATTACCTCACTTTGGTTTAGGTCAAATGTACGTCTATCGCGGTGATGCAGAAAATGTAAGTATAACGTATTATTTTTTTTATAGTATACTAAACAGTACAATAAATACCAACTAAATTCAGAACAAAATTACTGTTATTTCTTACAGGCTGCACAATGTTTTGAGAAAGTATTGAAAGCCCAACCTGGCAATTACGAAACGATGAAAATTCTCGGTTCGTTATATGCTAATTCAAGTTCTCAATCGAAACGAGACATTGCGAAAAATCATCTCCGAAAAGTAACAGAACAGTTTCCCGATGATGTCGAAGCATGGATTGAACTAGCTCAAATATTAGAACAAAGTGACCTTAACGCAGCCTTAAATGCATATGGTACTGCAACTAGAATGTTGAAAGAAAAAGTTCAGGCGGATATACCGCCAGAAATTTTAAATAATGTTGGAGCTCTACATTATAGGTATTCACAATGTTCTGTTTTACAACTTTGTTCATTATATATTTTCTTCGATAACGCTTATCGTATGTTTCAGACTTGGGAATTTAGAAGAAGCTAGAAAAAATTTGGAGGAATCTTTAGCACGTTCTAAAACCGATGCCTTACATGATTCTGTATACTATAATTCAATCGCGGTTACAACAACGTATAATTTAGCACGTTTAAACGAAGCCTTATGTGTCTTCGATAAAGCAGAGAAATTGTACAAAGACATTTTAAAGGAACATCCAAATTATGTGGATTGTTATTTACGACTTGGCTGTATGGCCCGAGATAAAGGGCAAATTTATGAAGCTTCCGATTGGTTCAAGGATGCTTTGAGAATAAACAATGAACATCCAGATGCATGGTCCCTTTTGGGTAATTTACATTTAGCCAAAATGGAATGGGGCCCTGGACAGAAGAAATTCGAAAGAATTCTTAAAAACCCATCGACCAGTACCGATGCTTATTCTTTGATCGCCTTGGGCAACATTTGGTTGCAAACATTGCATCAAAGTGGAAAGGATAAAGAACGAGAAAAGCGTCATCAAGACAGAGCACTGGCCATGTATAAACAGGTATTATAATAAGAATTACTATTTGTAAAGAGAATTTCTATCTACAGTGGATATATGTATCGAAATTTTTAGGTTTTGCGAAATGATCCTAAAAATATTTGGGCGGCGAACGGAATCGGAGCGGTGTTAGCGCACAAAGGTTGTGTAAATGAAGCCAGAGATATTTTTGCTCAGGTTCGAGAAGCAACAGCAGAATTTTGCGATGTTTGGTTAAACATTGCACACATTTATGTCGAGCAAAAACAATTTGTTAGCGCTATTCAAATGGTAACTTTAACTTGTCACATTTACTGTTACAGAATATTGCTAATGATACTAATTAATAAATGTGCTTTGCTAGTACGAAAATTGTCTTCGTAAGTTTTACAAATATCACCACGTCGAAGTTTTGCAATATCTCGGAAGAGCTTACTTCAAGGCTGGTAAATTGAAGGAAGCAAAATTAACATTATTAAAGGTAAATCAAGATATACATTTGCCTTATGAGTATACTCATTCAATAAAAACACCAATGAATATTTAGGCAAGAAGGGTAGCACCACAAGATACGGTTTTGCTGTACAACATTGCGCTTGTACTTCAACGTTTGGCGACGCAGATTTTGAAAGACGAGAAGTCAACTTTGACAACTGTACTGCAAGCAGTTCATGAACTAGGACTTTCGCATAAGTATTTCCAATACTTATCGACACACGGAGACAGAATGGAACAACTTGCAGAAACAGAAGCGAGAAGATGTCAGGACTTACTATCTCAAGCACAATATCATGTTGCTCGAGCTAGAAGATTGGACGAGGAAGAGAAAATGCTTAGAAGAAAACAAGAGGAAGAAAGGTAAGCTTAAACTCTATTGATACTTAATTTATCGAGTTTATCAGTGTGATAATAACAATCTTATCATAGGCAAGCATTCAAAATGCGTCAGACTGAAGAACAACGAAAGCTCGAGGAATTGCGTCGTCAAAAGGAAGAAGAAATGTTACAGAAACGTCAAGAATATGTTGAAAAGACCAAGAACGCTTTGGTATTTGGCGAAATGCCTTCAGAGAAGCCTGGAAAGAAAGGAAAGAGAGTACGCACTGATCAGTATATTAGTGATAGTGGTGGTTCAGGAAGAGACGAGGGTAGAGAAGAAGCACCGAGGGAAAGGAAACGCAAAAGGAAAGCGAGTGGCGAACGCAAAGAAAGGAAAGGCAAGGGTCAAAGAAGACGTAAGAAGGAAGCGGCTAGTGGAGAAAGTGGTAAGATGATTTATAGTCTTCAGTAATAAGAAGAAAACTCAACACTTGCAAATGCAACAAAACTATTTTCAATGTTCAGGTTCAGAAAGCGACCGACCCAAGCCAAAACGTGGAAGGAAAACTAGAACCAACAGGAAGGATAGAGCATCCCGAAAAAGTACTGCTGAGACTTCAAAGGGCAAAATGCCATTGTCTAAAGAAACCATATCAACTAGTGAATCTGACAGTGATTCAGGGGGTCTTAAAATTGCTAGCGGGTAAGCATACGCGAGACAATATAATGATTACACTAACCGCAATGTACTAAACGCATCAAAATATATTTTACAGAGGTGAAAGCGGTAACGAAGGTGGTCGTGGCCGCGGAAGCAGAAGAATCAGATCTGATTCAGAAGGTTCTCGTGCTTCAGGATCTAGATCTCGTTCCAGATCAAAATCCAGAAGCCGTTCCCGAAGTACCTCACGATCGCGTTCGCGTTCTCAATCACAATCTCAGTCACGATCAGTGTCTCGATCTCGATCTCGATCCGTGTCGCGATCCAGGTCGCGTTCAGGCTCGAAATCAAGGAGTCAATCGCGATCAAGAAGTCCGTCTAGATCAGGCTCGGCAAAGAGCGGATCCCGTTCGAGATCGGGTTCCAGGTCAAGATCAGGGTCAAGGAAGAGTCAATCGCGATCAAGGTCGCGAAGTGGATCAAGGAAGAGCGGATCTCATCCACGATCGAGATCAGGATCCGCAGCAAGTGGATCGAGATCGAGATCAGGATCACCTGCTGGTTCGGGAAAGGCAGGCTCACGATCGAGGTCAAGATCAGGATCAAGAAGCGGTTCGCAATCGGAGGGACGAAAATCCAGGAGCAAAAGCAGATCGAAATCCAAATCTGTTTCGAGGTCCAGATCGCGTTCGGGTTCAAGATCAAAGAGTGGTTCGCGAAGTCGCAGTCCTAGTGGTTCAGCCCGGTAAATACATAATAATAATTAAAATCTACTTACTCGTACGAAGATGCAGCTTTTGATGATTGATGATTTGTTGTTTCAGGTCTGCTACTCCAGAATCCAGAAAATCCGTATCAGGCAGTGACGTTGGTTCTCGCCATTCAAGTTCAGATCGAGGTGGTGGAAGCGACAGCGAGTAAATTCAATGTTAGAGTTGAAGGAATTAGAAACACTCGCGAAAGATTCACTTTAACTGTGCATTATACACTTTTTGTACGGGTAAAGTTTACCGATTGCACATATAACTTCCGTGAAATATATCGTAACGCGTGTTATATTCGAAAAAGAAACACCGTTCGAACTGACCAACAACTTTGGCGGTTAAAATGGCGCCCGATATTGGGCAATTGGCGTCGCTTCGATATCGCAGTGGTTCGATCCTTTTTCGAGATTATCGATGTATACATCTGAGGTTCGAATCGAATGAGAGTAAACATAACCGCGTATCAACGTAACGTTTTGTTCGGTGTTCTTGTTTATTGCCGGTATTATTCAGTTGCAATTTTAACAATTTAATGTGAGAATAATAAATTTCCGTTTTTCAATGTGATTTTAAAAAGAATTGATTCGTGACGGGAGATGATTGTAACATTCGAAAAGTTTCAATTTAATTGGATTTCTACAAACACATTTTGCTTCTTTATTAATTTGTTGACATTTTGTACAATAAACAGGTAGGTTTAATTCAATTTGCACTTTTAAGTTGATTAAAGATATATTTAATAAAAGACAAAACTTGTAGAATATAATTTTTCTTAATTACATTAACCAGTTGTAATGTAAACAATATATGAGGTTGTGTTCACAACGAATAAATTGTTTTATATAAAAACCACAAATAAAACATTGAAGCTAATGTCTGAATTTATATTAATCACCCATACGTCAAAATATCGATCTAGATAGTCGACGCGAAATAAATTATTAATTTTTTTGCGGTTAATGACATACATGACCTTTTACTTTGTTTTACTTGTGTGTTTCTGTTTCAATTTATTTTCTAAACAAACCGATACACTATTTTCAGATGGAATTATAATGCCTGGAAAATCCACTCCAAATATCACGTTAAACATTGTTAAACATCGCTGAACTTTATCATTCTATTATAACGTTTAAGCCTTTGGATAGACGTAATCCACAAAGTATATGCTGTGTACTTTCGCAGACAGAAAAATCCTGAAGCAGTTTGCAATGAAAGCAAGAAAAAAACGGGGATGGAGTGAAAGAAAACACAATGAAGGTAAGGAAAGGATATCACTTTTATTCAAGCTACGAAGATTCTGAGTGCTCGAAATGTTTACCCTTTCGATTCAACTCCCAAGAGTTTGGATTTATTTCTCTCCTTTTCGTGCTCGACTGCAAAACCTTCGTCTTTGTCTTCTTTTTTCTTCGCTAAACGTCTTTAGCCGTCGTTCCTTTTTTTTTATATACACTTTCTGTTATTTTGTCAGTTAATTAACTTGATTCAATATGAACATTATTATCTTCGTAGAACAGCCTGTTACGTTGAAAAGATAAAAGTTTTAATTAGGCTTCAGGCATTTTTGTGTTATACATTATAATGCATGACAGATATTCGAGAATTATTTGCTTTCTCGGTAAGTTCGAAACTTTTGGAAGAGAATTATTTATCATCTCTCGGGTACCTTGAAACTGGTTAAATAGAATAGTCCCGCGGCTGCGAGTTTTGATTGGTCTTGAATTTGCATGTTTAACATTCTATCTGCTTGATCAAACTTTTACAAGAAATTTCGGCGAACAAACGAGGATGTAGTTGCAATTACTTTATCATCATTTCACTGTACTCTGCATAAAGCGATATTTTAGAAATCCTTATTTACAGACTCGGTGTTTCGAGGTTGTTTGAAACGGAAATAAAATCAGAAACGTGTCCCTTTTGCCGAACGGCTGCCACTATAAATTGACCGATTTCTTTTTTATTTCTGTTCGTTAGAGGAAACGACAAACAACGATTGCTGTTTCCCTTCACGATCAGGGGTTTCGTTACAACGAGCAAACGTGATCAACGTAAAAACGCTTTTCGGTGTTTCTTTGATCCTTTTGAAAACGCACAGAAATCTGGCAAATGCCGAAAATAACGAGCTATCGTTCAATATTCAATTTTATTGGAGAAGGGAACGACGTGAATTAATTCAACGATAATAATTTCGAATCAGCTTTAAAATAATAATTATTTATTCTTTTTTTCTTTCATTTACATATTTTGCAAAATATCGGAAAATGATAGTAACAATATTTCATCTCACAACAGTCTGATTTTAATCTGTATCGTGTAAATCTTTTCCGTCACTTTTGCCTCGACAATTCATCAAACACCTGAACAAAGATTATCACTAATCCTCGACACGATGTAACCTTTTTAATCCTTTTTTTTTTCGTTCGAAACATAATGAAATTTTGTGCCTGTTCATTTCACAAGTAATAGCCGGTGTAATTGAAAAATGTTTATGGAACATAGAGATTCATCCATTATTCATGAAACAAGGTTCTCCATTACGTAGCTGTACGATAATAATGAGTCACAAAATCCAAAGAGCTTGTGCAACTTGAAAGCCTGTGTTCGACCCCGTTTCGAAAAGATGCGGAATGCAATATTTCTTCAGTGCGAAGGGGATCGAACGGTATTATGCGGACACCAGTGACCCACTTATAAACCGAAGGGTCTTGAAAAATGTGTGTTCTATTCGATAACCTCTTCTCTCAGGCATTGCCCCTCGGATAGACGAACGTGTGTCGAGTCTGATTATCATTTTTCCGTTTCTTTATATAGAGTCGTGGTTTACCTTACGAAGTGAGAAAGTTAGCAAAGTATATTGATCTCAGAAAATCAATTTCCGTAGGAGTCCATAGATTCTATGGTATAGAATTTTGATTGGAACAAATTTTAATAAAGCGAAACAGAAATCAACCGAACACGTGTAGCGTTTTATGATTAAATAGCTGCAAGCAAAATACCTGAGGTGAAATTTTAATGTAAACGGTTAATTAATTGTATAAACTACAGTGTGAAAGTTAGATACGCGTTTAAACAACTCTACATATTGTTGTTTCACAAAGCACCATATTCAGATTTCGTCGGCGTGTTTTCAGTTTTCAACGTTGATTTTCCACTCCCGATGTATAATTTCGTGCACGCTATTAATATCAAAGCAGGCCTTTGTCTGCAGAAATAAAGATTTCGAGTGCAATTAGCGTAACATTCTAGCTAAGATCTGAAGATGTGACCTTGAATAAACAAATTACTTTTTGCTTTATGTACAAAGGAAAGACGAGGGTCATAGAGAAAAGTGATATCGGTATCTCTTCGCGAAATGAATGAATGTTCTTTCGTGCAACGAAATTTCGTTAGATTCCAAAAATCAGCGGAAGAAACTTCAAGATTATTAAAAGCAGCTCGCGATATTACTTCGTCCATGAAAGTCAAACCGCGCCTACCGCGATATAAGATATAAATTGAAACTTTGAAAGAGCAACTAACGACAACAACAATCGCGATTCTGTTTGCTCCAAAGGCTAAGAAGCATACTTTACCCTGACATTTTCCAAGCTATACAGACACGAAATTCTTATTTCTCTTCTGGCTGCGAGAACTTGAAATTAATTATAACATTATTTGCTCTCGACGGCGAGCTTGAACTTATCCTTGTCGTTTCACGCCGAGCTTATTCTCCTCGTATTCCACGAGCATCTAATTATTAATATTTACTTCAACAACGAAAGCTTTCTGCACTTTCAACCTTGAGCTATTTCCCTTTTTTCACGTAACATAATGTTAAATTTTCGTTAATCCAAACGTTTCACTTGTGCTCGCCACTCCGTTTCAGAAATTTGCGGAGATTAAAACGTACGCGAATTGTAACTTTTTGGAGAGCTTTTGATATTAACCGAATGAAGGGGCTCGTACGCACAATTATTCCCATCAGGCCAGATTTATTTCTCGTCTATTCGCGTATACACATATTTCACCGCCCACGTTCGGCCACGTAGCGATGACATAATTCATCTTCAAAAGGGTTAACGTAATCCACGAGCAAAATAAGCGAAGTTGTGTCACCCCGTCAGCCACAAGAAGCCACAATGAACGTATTTTGATGCAAGGTTGCAATTACAAGTTTATGTATGATCCAGTCGGTTGAGTTCTTTGCGTAATCCGTTACCCCAGTGTATCATGGAAACTCATAGAAAGCCACACGACGAGCTACCATTCAACTGAAAAGCGATTCCAATTACACGCCTGTCCATTCCTTTGAAAATCAAATATCCTCTTTATTCGTAATCGTTCCACAGAACAGGGTATACCGAATAATAATCCCAATCAACACTGAATTAATCATAGAGCAAATATTGACCTGTGCTAGTGTTTCAGCATACGTACATTTAATATTCATCAGGTTCCCAATATTATTGCAAATAGGACACAATTTCCATTTTGAGATACGTTATTTCACCGTATAATTATCTTATTCTAGGAAATTTTCTCAAATCCCAATTATATTATCCCAGATTTGATTTTGATCTCGTTTTACGTTATCTGTAGGAATTAATTACAGTTTCAAATCCCTTGGCTCATAAGATACTAGGTCAATGGTAGAAATTCAACAGAAGCAAAAGGTCAGAAACCGAAAGCTGCGCAGGATAATGGTCGAAGGAAGCGGACAGGGTTGATCTAAAGCTTTCAGGAGTCACTGGCCGATGAAAATTTTAAAGTTGCTGTATATATACATACGAATGAAACCCCAACGCGAGTGTTTCATTCTTCGTACTTTTTAAACAACGAAACAAATATTTTCACAATTTTTGAAGCGTGCATTCCACCAGCAGGGGAATTCAAGCATGACGTCACTTGAATTTCATGTCACGAACAGATGCTCCAACAATTTTTCCAGTATTTTTATATTCGCCCGGGAGCCAGGGGTCATTGAAATATAGAAAAAAACAATCCTCTTGAAAAATTCCTTTTATCAAATCATTCGATAATTCAAGAATATCAATTTTATTTTATCGTTTTCTATAGAAGAAGCTGAAACGAAAGAACTAGTGTTGCGTGTAATTTGTTGCTCAAGGAACACGTTGGAATTTTTGAATGAAGCCTCCAAATGGTATTTGCATCTGAAAACAAAGTGGTAGCAATTTGTTCGAGGTCAGTGAGTCCTGATCCACTGTGGAATGCATTGGAAATAGGTCGAAGGCATGTTCTTTACCCCTTTGAAGGGAAATCAAATGGTATAGTTGGAGCGAAGCTCCGCTATTAAACGATTAATTGGGATTTTTGTGACTTTTTAATTCACAATCTAGATTATCAATTTTGACCATTCTTTGCAAGCCGATCACAGTGCACAGAAACCGATACCCATGTTAAGTCTATGAGAGAAATTGGAATTACGCTATCGCGTGAGCTTTGAATTCGTGTTCCGCCACATTATCAACAATTAAACACTACTTTTAATTGCTATATTGTGTCTCAACTCTGTTAATGTTACTTTTACTGCAAATCAATCGCTTGCCTAGTTATTTTATTACCTAACTTCTGTTATTGTTAAATTGCCAATGTAGAACCGATAATAATTGTATTTACTAATCGTAACATAATACCGTTTGAAAATCTATCATTAATTATACGACTTAGTGTAAGATAGAATCCGGTAGAGTTGATGGCGCACTCGAAGTAGAGATAATCCCTTCGAATAAACACTCGAGCTATCGGCGAACACCGGCAGCCGTGCTGAAATGCGACCGTACGTTCATTCGTTCTTGAGCCATCCTCGAGTCTATTCACAAGCGGAAAGTCGAATATACGAAGTTTCTTTAAATCGAACATATATTCACATTGCACCAATTGTTAAAGCGCGATCGACAGATATAGAATGTGCGGATGTCTGGAGATGAGCAATTTCTTTCTCAATATTCGCGATATTTCCAGATCACCTTTTTATTCCTTGATATTTGTTTTCATTTGGCCAATCATTCTCGGTATAAAACGATATTGTTATTATTACTCGCTTCCCAAACGATAGAATTGAGTCTTTATTTTTCCAACGGCGATACAACGAAATTGAGAGGAAAAGTAACAAACAACTCGCGTTCTCGTACATTGCAAGAGAATCAACGAAAGTATCACGGGTTTGAAACAGCTATATCGAAACGTGATGCTTCTCAGGGAGCTTCGGGTAATACTTATTTTATTGTCCAATTTGATTCACCGAGGGCAATTGTGTAAACGTTTCCAGAATTTCCTGAAACAGTTTACGGTATCTTACGTATCCCCTGGAAAAAGGAGCAATTTTTGTGGCACTATGTACAAAAGAAGAAACATCTGCAAGATACAACTCAATAGGGAGCACGATAAAGTGACAGCAAGCGTAAGAACCATTTCAAGAGGAACGGAAAAAGGAACAATGCTAATGGTGTCTTCGAAGCGACGTCGATCGAGCGTTGTCAGGACTACGACAGAAAGTAATACGATCAAGGAAAAGCGTAACGTGCCATTCAAGAGGCTATCGTTATTTTCTTTTTATACGAAGGTCAATCAATTATTGAGATTAAAAACGTTGATGCATGAAAATTGATTTAACTTACGATCGGCTGATCGAGGATGACATTTATTCCTTGGAAAATAACGGAACGGTAACTCGTCAAATATCAATCGATTCTTTTAAGAAGTTCATTAATAAGCTTTGTAAATTAATCGCCGGCTCGCGTCGAGCGAAATTTAATTTCCAAACTCATTTTCATGGCAAATATCAACTTGACGGAGAGCCGTCTAGCGTGTTCTTTTGATTGAAATCGAAATTCGATTGCCGAGCAAGAAAGAAAGTTGCTCTACAACGTGACGTGAGAAAAGATTCATTCTTCTGTCATCCTTCCCGCCTCGATTTCCATTAACAGCAATATATATGGTAATCCAACTACGAATAAAGTTTGATAAATGTTGCTGTCTAAAAGTGTTATACAGCGAGTTCCATAAGAAATTATCAACACTTTCGAACACTTCTGTTAATAATCGATAGAATTATTTTCTTAAATATTGACTTTTCCCCATAAAACATTTTGCGCAAGAAGCACTTGAATCTCGTTCGAACGAAAAAAACAGTTCGAATGAAAAAGAACCCGTTCTGAACATTTTCCGAATCGAAAAGCGGAATGTTCAGAAAACTGGCAACTTTAAAACACCTCTAACATGAAATGTATCACGATAAGATACATGTATGCGATCGCATGAAAAAGGGTCGTGTTTCTGTTATCTAGTGATTCCACCAGTATCTGTGCACCAGTTGCTTTTAACTGAGATTTATCACGCCATTATCTTCTCGTTGCGACGAGAAAACAGCAAAACCGTTCGGTCCTGATAAAAACAAAATATTCACGGCGTTCTTTCACGATCCCTGATAAATTGCGGTCGCTCATTTGCAAACGAAGGTTACTCGTTCTTGCAAATATTCAACGATCCCGTTTCAAGGCTAAAATCGTGACATTGCAAACAATTTGTTGCCTTCGTTTGATATTTGTGATAATTCAGACCATGTTTTTGTTTATCGATCATTTTTGATTAAAAAAAAAAGGACCTAAAATTTTGAAAGAACAACAAAGTGTAGTTTGATTCTGATAATCGTTTAAATTGTTACAGAAAGGAAAGGTCGAGCCTGGTGGAACTGTCTGGCAAATGAAATTAAGAAGAGAAAAATGGAGACACTTCGCGACTGTTCGAAGACATTTTCTAACGAGAAGAAACGACTTTATAAATCGGGCTGGAAACTCGGTAATACAGTGCTGGTCTCTGTTCTACTTTCATTCGGTAAGGAAACACTAAATTTCTTCTCCGCGTTTCTCTGGGGGGCTTTAGAATTTCGTTTAGACTCAAGGACTAATTAGTGACGAATAAATAGAAATCGATAAATCGAGGAGAAAGAAACATTCCTCGAGTGTGTTGGAAAACACTCTTCCTTGTTGGAAATAGAGGGACGATTTTACAAATTGGATTGTAAGATGTAATTCGATGGAGGCGTTGCTTTTTCTTCGAAACAAAAGAACCCTCTTCCCTGTTCCTACAGGGAGCTGTTAAAATTGTTTTATACCCTAAAATCTTACCTTGTTTGAACGCGGTTCTAACAAAGCTTCTTCTCTAATACGGACACAATAAACATTAAAGAAACCCCATTAGATCTGGCGCGGCTGTTGTTTACTTATACTACTTAATTCGTGAAAAATTCGTCAATAACTATTTCATACGCGCTCAGGTTATTATTAATAAACTGTGAACGTTTATACAAAGATATGCATTTATAAAATATCTTCTCTGACAAGCAGCTTGAAAATATTACTTCATTTTCCACATTTTTGACATTATAACATTTGATTTAATTTTCGACGTACGTAACTTTGCACAACATGAAGTATTACGTTGATATACGTGCACATTAAAAAAAAGCGACACGAAAATTTCGTGCACTCAAAGCGCCTCATTTTCATATAACCGAGCCAACTTTTGTAAAATGCAAGCCAGCCTCGTAAAGTTGTGAATTTCGTTAAATGAAATGAAACGAACCAACGATTCAACCAGTGATGAATATTGGTTAGCCGATGTTTGAACAAAAGGTAAATGTCGTATGATTTACATACAACAACGCGAAGTGTAAATTACATCCTGTACTCATTACGTTGTGAAGTTCGTGGCAACAAACGAATTTCGTCTCGCGTTGGCGTAGTACCGCGAATTTCTCTTAACAAGTTGCTTTTACTTAACGCAAAGTAAAACAACTACTATAGATTCTAGACCTAAGTGTATAGAGTTTTAACCGGAACAATTAATTATAACAGCAGTTTTCATACACAGTTTCTACTATACATATTTACTATTCTGCAGTACGGGCTCTCTGTTTGCGAATCTCTTCGTTATGAAAAGCAACTATAATTGCCACCTACAAAGCTATTCTTCTATTCGTAAGGTCACGGTTGGTGTCCTGAATTCTTTCAATATTAAAACTCTTTAGTCAAACAATTAAATTCTCTTGTTCAACCCTTGGGTGAGCTACCCCGTTCTGTGTTTCCTTTATGAATATTGTACGTTCTTGTGAAAATATCGCGAAACCACTTCGAATTATACAAGAAATTTGAAGTGTTAATGGTTCAAATCATCGTGGACGGTTTAACAGCTTTAAATTACAGTTATCGAGGATAGAATCGATTCTGCTAAAAGCTCGTTTGATTAACCGGTTCATTATCGAGGACCGTCGCTCGCGAAATTACAGAAGGGCGCTCTTTTTTATGCCCGCTAATCTTATATTCGTTCGATTCGCGATAGTGGTGTTAAAATTGCAAGAGTGCGATTTATTTCGTTCAAAGTATTATCACCGTGAAAATGTTAACCTTTGAATTAAACATTACGTCGTGTATTTATAATTTCTCGTTCGATCGGTTCGTTCGTTTTGTTTGTCGAATCACGAGGCTATTAATGATGGCTAACAGTATAATTGCATTCGCGAAATGTGAACGTTCGCCTGAAGGGAAGCGGTTGCGTGGAATCAATTTACAATGGTCGAGTTCACAATGAGCCATTGTTAGCATCCGGTCGAACTTCGAATTAAGTTCATGTTGAGAATACCACCACTGGTCTTATTTAGCTTAAAGATCAACACTGAACTACCTAGCTCTCTCTAATTATACGTATTTTCCTGTTAAAACATTTTTCTTAGAAGACAAGAAATACCCTAGGAATATATTTTTTCGAGCAATTTTGAAAATCTTTTTACGTACAGATACGAAAGTAGATTTTACATTACCCCTGAAGACGGAAAAACAGTTTAATCCCATGGAAGACGGTACAGTTTAAATGGCGTTTTAATGATACCATTTCACTGGAATCCAATCTTTTCTAAGATGTAAAACCGCAACTATATTGTTCTCGCAAGCGGACACGGGAAGACCTTCGAAATCCTGTTGCATTATGCGCCTCGACGTCTCGAAGACGGTAAATTCATTTTAACGACATGGACGTGCAAACAGGTGAAATTAAGAGAAACTCGTTAAACCTCTGCTGAAGGACAGGTCGACTACAAAATGGTGAGCAAAGCGGAGCACATCTGCGTCTAATTGATTCAATTAAAATGGATTCCAAATGCTGTACCATGCAAATTTGTTTCCCGATACGATCGGTAGAATTTGAATTTTAACGCTTTCGGGAAGCAATTGGTTAGCATGTATCTTTTCGCAACCCTGGCAACCCCATATGCCCTCGAGTATTCCGTAAATATGACTGTTTATGCAATATCACGAGAGTAAACATTTCTTCTTTTCCTTGAGCATTCTAAATGCCACGCAAAGCGTAAAAAACCCGCACAAATTTAATGAGACATTCAGGAAATGTTTAAGCAATCTGAAGCTTTTGTCACGTTTGTAGTGAGAAATTCTTTGTGCATGAGGATGTTTAATACGTTCTATAACGCATGGGTTATCAGTGGTTTATAATATCAGAAACGCGTACGAAACAGTAGTATAAGTCAATATTCGAAAACAGTAGTATAAGTCAACGTTTATGCAGCCTGCATTACCCTAAGATACGTACTTCGTTCTTCTTTGTTATTACTTTACATATTTCAAAAAGCTTTTGTACTTATTTGAGGAACATTTTGTTTTCCATTTCAAAAGCCATATGCTGAGAATCTAACTACAAAATTAGGCTTTCAATTATGAAATACTGTGACCTCTTTGTGTAGGTTCAGTTCTAAAAATTGAAAGGAATATCATACATAAAAATATTTTAAACAAAGGTCGGTTTCCACAAAATAAAAGAATTCTATGTAGAGAAGAAAAGATCCTACGTAGCTAAGTATCATCTTTCAGAATATCTCTCTGCCACTAAGGGTGTCATTCGAGGATATAAACATTTCAGAATCAGAGGATATAAACGTTACAGACATCTCGGTTAAAAGACTGGAATAAACAAATCCTTTGACAGGAAACATTTGTCCGGATACTTAGACACGTACACACAGACAGAGAAGTAGAGGAAAACGTGACTACGTGAATAATGTACAACCTTTCCTTCAAAGAGCCTCCAGTGGGGATTAAAAAAAAATAAAATAAAAATGGAATACTTTTTCTGTTCAGTCAAAGCACAGAAGGTGTAAAACTACTGCGGGCATTGAGGATTTTTGGTTGTATTTTTTGTAATTAAACGAAAGATTTGAAAGAAGAGATTGCGATCGGGAAGTGCGGTTGATAAAGTGATTGAAATGAAGCGAATAATTAAATAGGTTTGCTGATTAAATTTTCCTGTTTGCTCTTTCATATTCCTCGTTGTATTCGAGTGGAATAGCTGCGAGGGCGAGAAATAACCTCGTGTCTAATTTTATCGAGCCCCGAAGTGTATAGTTATCGATAAAAATGCAGAAAGATTGGACAGGTTGAAATTTCTCGGCAAGATTTAAACCCTTCCTGTCTAAGATTTTAACGATCGCCCGGGTTCACTGCTCTTCTCCGTGCACACATAACCTCCAGGCAGTTTTCTCTGTTTCTATCTTTTACATATTTTACGGAAGAACATCGATCCAGTTGGTCGAATCTGTGTGTCTTTCCAAGCTGGAATCGAATGATGGGTTACTTAAAAATATTAGCTTGTACTATATGGTAAACTTTTACGCTCTTTCTCTGGTTGATGTACCAAGTAAAATATTGAAGCAATATCTGAATATAATGAAAAAACCTTTTCTTGTTACAATCTTCTCAGTTTTTGAGTGAATACATTATGCGTGGAACTTTTTTCGTTATGTAACTTTTTGTAACTTACATAAGACGAGATGTCGAAAATGAATTCCTACTTTACTTTTGATCGCTTCTTAAAATTCACTCTTTCCAGATCTTTGTGCATCTTAGAGTTCTTTGTTTATAAAACATGAAAAACCGTGAAAAATGTATACATAGTCGCTACGAACTTTTGACATACTTACTGGAGGACTATTTCAACTTTAAACAGAAGCAACATAAATTAAAGTCGATCTAAATGCTCTAGTAATCCCGAACCTTAAATACAATACCTACTTTTAGTATAGAACTTGTCTTTCATATCTCCTTTTATTTATTCCGAAAGCTTCGTCGATGTAGTTTTTTTTATCCAATCGAGTTCGATTTCTCGAACCTGTGGAATTGTTTGTTCGTAATCATTCAACCAACGATAGCGGGTTGCGGGATCAATGATTCGTGTTTGTGTATTTTTATTCGAAGCAATTTTTATAGCCAATTGTTGTGAGGTTTCGACGGTTCGAGTTTCATTCTTTATGAAACATTCGATTCCAGACGAAATTATTCGGTGTATGTTCGCATGAAATTGTGCCAAGGTTTCGCATGGGGATTCATAGCGAATGAAAAATGTCGTGAAATACGAAAAAATCGTCCTCCATCGGGAAGGACGGCTTTTAAACATTCCAAAAACTCTCTTTGATTCGTGAAATTTTATCTCGCTGTAGGCCGAGTTCCCAACATGAGAAACTTTGAGAACAGAAGGATTGCGTGTCGGCCGAGGAAAGAGAGAACGAAAGTAAATCAATTAACCTACGACCTACTGAATTTGACCGTACAGATTGTGGAGAATTCGTAAGTGGTGCGAAAACAACAAAAATGTTCATCATCGGATAGAATAACGACATTTATTTGATTTAATTACTTCAGACGGAAATTTGGAAAATTGATATCAATTATGAAGGGAATCAAAAGGGAAATATTTTGTTACATCAACAGAACAATACCACATTGATCATTAAGAAATATATATATTAATAATGAAAATTTTCTAAAGCAGTCAATAAAATTTTTAAAGTGTCATCATTGCAATTGCAAGAAAAAGGAAATTATCAAAGGGGACCGTCTAAAATCGAGGAAGAAATTGATTGAATTTCCTGAGAATCATCAGGGAATTGTGGGCTAAGGTCGAACCTACAATCACAGGGCGTATCAGTGAGCGTCTCCGTTCTGCGCGTCACGCTATTCGCTGACCGAGCTGGGGGGTGCGTTCAGTCTGCTTCGAGCCGCGACTGCGAGAACTTGTATCACGGATCGTGCGTCTCACCGAAAACAAACTTTGGCTCAATCCGTCCCTGAGAACGAATGAAAGTCAATCGAAGATCATAAATTCAATCGAAGCTACATCAGTTTTAGTTTGATAAATTGTCTTGAGAAGACGATCGTGTGCTCCGGTTCGCGCCTCTTTGAACGGAAAACTACTTTGACATATGATACCGACGGAAAAGCGGGAAACCTCGCGATCCTATTCCTTGGTCGACATGAATTCTACACCACCTTTTCTCCGTGTTGAGGTAAGTCGATTCTCTTTCTTCTTCGTGTTATTGCTCGTTTCTGTAAAAAACTTCTGGTGTAACTGACACGCGAAGTAGTCGATCATACTCAATTCACGCAAGAATCGGAGGTAACGACAACGAAATATTTTGAGTGCATTTTATACTTCTTTTGGATGCATATTTATGTAAATTTATGGTTGAAACTTATTGATAAGCTTCAGAAGATTCATTGATAGTGTACGCTTTCATGTACGCCTTCCATTTCTTTTGATTCTTCGAACCATAGATATACTATAGGATAGCCACAATGAAAATAGCTATGTGATATTACACAATTTTAAACGCCTATGTATTTTTCTAAATTTTCAGTGGCCCTACAATAAAATTTTCATGGGATTAAACGCGATTTTTAGTCACAATTAAACCAGCCATTTTTCGGTGGCCGATGAAAGTGTATAGCATCTAAAGCGGCTAAAAGAAAAGAGCTAAATGCCTCGGCTTATAATTATGCCTCGTGCGCAGGACGGTTCATTTTAAAGACGTTTGTAAACAGAGAGGAAGAAGAACTTTTTGGACGTTGACCCTATTCTTGGTGTACTCACAAAAGCCTTGTCCCAATTGCATTAATTTTCATTTGTAGAACATTTTCGTCGCTCGAGCTTCAACCGAAAATTCAGGCTTTTTCGTGACAGGAATAAAGATTTCATGCTCCAAAGTGGGTCAAGAACGTGAAATTTTGAAACGATCTGTAGAATGAGATAAATATTTGATTGTGAAATTGAAATTTTTGCAATTTCATTAATGGTGGAGAATTCTTCGTTCGCGATAAAAATTGGAAAGGCAGATGTATTTTCACCGGGTATTGGCCTACTTATACGCAAAGAAATTATGAAATTTCACATGTATTGAAATGACTTCATTTGTCCGTATTACAAGAGAACCGAATTCTGTTTAATGAAACAAATTGAAAAATATTGCTACAACGAGAAGTATTTAATATGATATCGATGATTTCTTCTTTTTTCTTTTTTCTTTCTTAAAGGATGCATTAATCGTTATGAAAGTGAATTAATTGGTCTCTCGAATGTATTCAATCCTTTCATAATTAAAACATTGAAACTTTACAGAAATTACTTAACGAAACGTAGAGGTAAAGTTTCAACGACGAAGACACGAAAGGTATAATTTTCTGAAAAGGCTACTGACTTTTCCATACATTCGTTTTGCAGTAGGTTTTCAAGCGACTCAATTAATTCAATTTTTTGTCGTTTCATCGTTGAAATGTACAGAATCTGAGCCATTGGTATTCATGTAACGTCATAAAACATGTACTCGTGACCTACGACAAATTATACTAAAAGGTTTGATATCACTCGGTTTTCATAATAATTTCTCCCTAACATCACCTTTATCTCTTTTGTATTGCGAGATCATTTTACATAGTTTTATTTTTTCTTAAGTATTTACCCTTAATCTCCTAGTTTCTGACAAATGACAATCACGATATTAATGAACTAAAAGTTCAGGTTCTAAATTTTGTCGAAGTTTGAACAATTTTGAATTTCCGTTTGAAAGTTTCAATTTAGTTCACTTGCTAATGTTTGTCAAGAAACTTTGGACTCTCTTTAGCTTCCATTCATCTTTACTAAGAGTGTGCATTGGTACCATGAAGTGGATTCGTAATAAGTTTAAAATTTAGCTACATTTAATTACAGTAGAAAAGACCCTTCACACTGGGGATAATTTGAACTTTATATACATATCAGTCAACTAGGAAATGAATTTAGTTTCCTATTTTTCAGTCTGGAAAATAAGTCCAACTTTCATATTTCATAAAATTTAGTTACAAACTTTTATCGGCTTCTGAATTCAAGTAATTTCAGTATGACAAAAAAAAATATTTTTGATCGATTTCAACAGTTGCAGAATATTCCATTGTAGGAGTATAATGAGTTAATAATTCACATCACCTAGTGTCTTTCTAGGCATGGCTATTTCTACTGTGGCGCTTAAAGTGTGACGTAGTGGAAATCAAATACCAAGAATTGCTTTTTCAAAAAATATATACACCACATTTTTTTCCTACGATTAAAACTGTCGTCTCGAAGAGAACACACTTTTCGTGTGACATTTGAAAAAGGAAACTTTTAGAATCGACGAAAGAACGGTCGTAAACCAGACGGTGCTATTCACCAACCCGTCTCGAGCTAAATCCTTCCTTTCGCGTCTCCGAATACAACGTCTGACACGTGAAATGCTTTAACTACTGCGGCAGCACAGTGTTTCAGAACGATTCGTCACAGCTGCTTGCGTCCAGTCGGGTCTGACATAAAATAAATGCATTAAGTTCTATTTTTGTTGTGGCACATCGATCGTGAAACGCGATGTTCTACAGTGTCTGTCACCTATCGCATTTACGGACTGAAAACTGTAATCGTCGAGCGGAGAAAATCAATTTTTCGAGTATTCCCTCGTTTCGAAGTCGATCGGACTGATATTCGCGACTGAAACACAACGTTAAACCCTATTTCGTGATCAATCAATTCGAAACTTTTAATTATCCGTGATGTGTGAAAGTGATATTTGTGAGTATACTCGAATAAGTATATATATTTTGAAAGACACATTTTCTCATTGCCGAAATTCCTACCAGATCCTGAGAATATTATGTAAACTTCATAGAAGAAAGAGTCCTGACGAGTTTGCTGATATGATTACCCTGTCCGTTTAGCCGGGACGTTATTAACATAATTGTATTTGTCAGCACCTCGCAGAAAGTGCCTATCTTCTCTCGGCCTGTTGTTGCGAAAGATTGCTTTAAATTGAACGTCCCTAATGGAAGGTTATTTTTCTTTTGAAATTTTCTGCTGAAAGGAAATTGTTGCTGCTCCTCCAGCAATATTGTTCCTTACATATTATGCGTCGCCTTTAAAAAATACATACAAAGTTCGAAAAATTTAATACCAAATCATTAAATTTCGAAATTTATAGTCTTCTGGACATCAAATGCAATGCAAATGCAAATGTGGACTATTGTACTTTTTTTATAGTATGCCAGTGCAATATTACCTATAGAAACGTCGAAAAAAAATGCAACGTACCAAGATTAGTATTATAAACGACCACCATTTTCATATGAATGCTTTGTACGGATCAAAGCCACTTTAGAGTCGTACTGTATACCAGCTTAAATAAACGACGAACGTGGAGTTATTTGTAAACCATACAATACTAGTAGAATGCGCAATGGTAGTACAGGATTAACGTCGGTCGGATTAACGTTGTATAACCGGAGCTATCCATCTGAGTTTCTAACAATTCGAAACTGAATGGCGAGTGGCTAGAAGAGGCACAATGTGTTTGACTTTACTCAAGATTATCATTTCTACACCGTGGATGTTTCATTTCGTCCGGGGATGAATAAAATAGCAAAAGGAGGACACCGATTGTCTTTCTGATTAATGGTGTTTGAGAAAATAAATCGTCAACGTAGAATTACCTTTTTTGAGAAAATCACTCCATCGATTAATTTTCAATCTTAAGCTTCCATCGCGTTACAATAGTGCTGCTGTTTAAGATTTTATTTCTTTTTTTGTATGGGTTCTTTTGAATTTTCTACGATGAAATGAAATGCATTAAGTACCGTGTAAGGAGATGTGATCGAATTAACGGTATATTAATTCACGCGTTCATCTGTACAATAATTCGAACTGAAATATGCAGTCGATGGTTTGATTAGAATCACCCATAATACGATGGTGCATTCAGATATCCAGCATTCATGCAAATAAATAGTGCTTGCATCAGTATGAAATTCTTTCATCCTTTCAAAGAATTAAAGCCATTGGCGTAAAATTAAACGAACGCGTTTTAATGGTTTTTACGGGGATACCTCGCATCTCTGAATCGTTGAATTTTCGTTCGAAAAAAGAGAACAGCTTTTGGATGTTGAACAGATGAAGCTTTAGTCGATTACCTATAGCCTTCATCTACACACATCTACATTCAACCTTCCTCGTACGATTGTCACAAATATTCTCTTTTCCCGGATAAATACCCGATAACGTGGAGACAGGTGGACGTCAGCGTATTTACCTGAACATTTTGATTTGTGAACTGTCCAAACCAGACAGTCTGTGAATCATCTGATACTACTGTACGAACGATTCAAATAGAAACGAAAAATTTGAATTCGAATTTCGTTCTATTCTATTCATCGTCCTTTCAATTCTGTCCACTTGTATGATTATCCAGCCGAAAGCATAGAGACGGGTAGGAAAGCTATCAGCTTCGTCTCGGCTTTATCTCAAATCCAAAGGTAGCTTTCGTTTTTGTTGTGAAAATGACGTTCAGTGTGTGATACGATGATATTCTTGTTATGCCTACTTCCGTTCTTCCTTTCAGTCGTCGAAAATATCCAGAAAGAGGGTGATAATCGACGATTTCGTTCCTATTTCGTTTCTACACACGTTATGCATTGATTTTTTTATCGTGGCAGACAACACTCTTCAATTTGATTCTCCAAAGTTTGGAATCATTTATCCCTGTGTATTAATATGCAATCTTCTTCTAATTATTCTGGAATAGAAGTTAAAATTTCCGTCGAAAATCCCCGTTTCCATAAGGTCATTGAAATAAATTTTCCATCAGATAGAAGTAATCATCCTACGTTCTCGCTTTCCTCCAGAGTATCCTCGTCTCTTCGGGTTCCATTTCTTGCGCAATTTCCTCGCAGCGGATGACGAAGAATATCCTTGACACTGTAATCCTACAGTAATGATCATTTTGTCCTTGAAAATTGAAGGTCTCGATCGATAGCTGCTCTTTAATTGTCCAGTTTCACATTTATCTTCATCCGAACAATAAATTTCAAATTAGAAGTCAGCAATGGATTAATTTGCGTAGTTACAGTTTACTAACGAGGGTTGAAGAGACACGTTCACGCAATTTCTACGCGCAATATTCGTTCTCGTCTGGCTTACGCACATTTATCTTTGCCTAAAAGAACTAGAAAAATCTGTCTTCCAAAGGAGAATTGAGAAAAATCTTAGCGAACATCAGACGTTGCTATTCTTTCCAGAATTGGCCCGAATTCCGTCCCATTAAACCTCATCGCACCTCTCTGAAGCAGCACAGATGGAAACAAATAGATGTCAGGGAGGAAAATTGGAGAAATTTGTGGGTTGAAAGGCTGAGAGGATAGGCAGGAAAATCAAGAAAGGATTGCCACTGTTTTTACGAGCTAATCAAAACGATATTTTCCGAGAGTTCGACTATATTTCAAAGGTATTAGTTTCATTAGGAGTTTGATAGGTCGTTCAGATTGAGTCTTAAGGATTGTATGTGTATGATACAAGTGTATTTGCAGGATAATAATCTTTGACAAAACTTGAAATTAATTCACGACCCATCAATCCGGGAATAAATTAATGTTACGTCATTGAAAATTAAATGAATCTTACCTCTTTGTTTATTTACCATGCGCTCGTTGTTGCATTAAATTTCCATTAGTTGTAATTCCTTCCTCCATAATTTTAATCATTATTCGTCTCTATGGAATCATGAAACATTCAAAGAAATCTGGTTCTCGTTGATAATATTAATTCATGTCTTAATATCATGTATCGAAATAAGTTATTGGAACAGGTGTATCGACTTTGAAAGCTAAGAATTTCATTCTCCCTCGTATTGCAATTATCAGTTAATGGATCTCGTCATTCAACCGGCACACGTTCCATTTCGTGTGCTATTGCACTTGTGCATGCCATCAATTTTATTTGCTATAAAAGTATTCTATTTTACCGCGAGTGTGCTGCTATTTTGTGATTGTTATATAGAACGATATCCTATCTAGATATTACAAGGTACACGAACACGTAAAATATCAAACTATTGTTAAATATGACGATGAAGTACAAGCAACAACTACAGTTTGATTTATCGTAAAATTGAATCGTTATTCCCAAATTGATAGCAAAATCTCATTAAGTTTTAACCAAAGAGCGACATCGATGAAAATGGAAATTTCATTCAGCTATATGTCCGTGGAAGTGTATGACAACCTGAGACACTTTGCACGATGTTTAATTATTAATGCGATTCTTCAGCGAGCCACGTTTATCCAAGGTGACGACGGTATATATCATTCTTCAAACCGGCAACAGCTTGTTCTTCGAACTTTTGATTTAAGATCATGGCAAAGTTTCTCTCAAGGTAGCCACAATTCCAAGAACACGTTCGTTTCACTGCTCTTGACTTTCATCCCCAGTGCATGAAACTTTAACGTTAAAATGGTTAATTGACGACTCGAAAATTACCGGGGAACTCTTTTCCATATCGTTGATAATAAATTGAACGTGACTAACCAACAGTTTGTTGAGTCAAATCATCATTGGTAGCGACGATCAAAGTGAAATAAAAAAACAAAAAACAGGGTACTTGATCGACAACGAGAAACATCGTCTGCGTCCCGTTTGCAAAACCCTGTTCGAGACGTGCCTTTTATACTTCAATTTACTATTCACGATCCGGCGTGAAATTGCATGAATAATGGAATCGAAATTCCGTTTTTCGTCTCGCCATTATTTTCGGCGCATTATATTTCGGTGGAAACCAGATCGAAGTGGCTATATTTAGCGGGCGTTGTTTAAATTGAAGTTTTTCAACCGCACCATCCATCTTCGTTCAATTTTTATTCGACTTCTGACGTTTCATTCAATCATTTTGGTATCAGGAGTTGTCTCAAGCCGAGTTTACACGCTGGTGCAATTTGCACCAACTGATTTACGCTTACAACTTTGGTTTATACAATTGTTTTAGTTTGCTAATTAATTTTACTTGGATAAGGTCCGGAATATATTGCTTCGTCGACAGTACCTCTGTCGTTTTTTGTTGTACAAGGTATCTAAGTTTTGCTGCAGTTTGTGTAATTAAAACGAAACAGAGCAAAACTGAAGAAAAGGGTGTTTTTTAAAGGAAAATTCGTTCATTTGAACTTGATCAATTTCACTAAATTTCATGAAGGCTTTCCCAGCAAATGGAAGGATAACCCGCAACGCTCGTATCTTCTACTGTCGAGATAGAGTCAAGCTTGGATAGAGCAAATCTTACGGGACGATCGTTCACTGTCTGATAGCTGAGAGATAACGCGTGACACCGGAGCTTTGCTTCTCGGGAAATTACATTCCCCACCGGCTATCGGATTTTTAATAACTCAGCCCAGTCAGCAATCAAGCTTCGCAGAGGGTGCACGGTCGATCGTAATTAATGTACGCGTATTGGATCCATGATTCGCGTTAATGGAACGGAAGTTGCCTGAAGTATGTTGCATTATTTTCATTGTGATATGAAGGAAAGTAGAATTTCGTTTGAACTCGTCAAGCATTCTCGCGATATATGACTTTTTTTTTTAAACACCTTAAAGTTCTTTCGCAGAAGCAAGAAAAATTAGCGTATTCAAAGAGAAAGGTTGAAGAAGATATGAATATTAAATTACTATCTACTCGCTCGTTAGGCGACAGTTTTTACTAATTAATGAGTCGTTTTTGTTCTCTTCAACAGTCACGCAAATGACATTAATCATACTCTGTTATAATCAGAGCTTTTCCCAAGCGCACGCTTTCTTCTCGCTCAATTGTGTTAATCCTCTCGCTGTTAAACGAGGCATGTAAACGTCGTACACCGTGGAAGGGTTAAAATTCTAAAATCGAAAATGGCACAGTTCGACGTGCACGTATCTGGGTCGTTTTAATGGAAGGCAGTTTATTACATGGCTGGCGTGTCCTGTGCCCTGCGGGAAATTGAGTCGATACTGTTGATTATTTTTGCCACACTAATTGTACGTATGAAGGATCGCGTTTCGTGCCTGCGGACATTTTGCATGTTCGAATAAAAATATTTCGACGAAGAAGCAAACTCTGTTGATTAGATTGTCGCTTAAAACTTTGGCATAAAGTCTTGTTATCGATACCGTTTCCTCTTACTGGTTCCGTTTCGTTCCTATCCCTAGCCCGTTCCTAGCCCGTGATCCACGAGCCCTTAATTGCAAGAAACTTTTGATGAAACTTTGCAAGAAAATAAACTGAGTGAATTGAAGGCAATATAATTTTATTATTCATTTAACGACGTTTAATTCTTGTAAAGCATAACAGTGAGTCGCAGTATATACGGTCTTTTCTACTGTGCCATCAACATTTTAATTTCCGCGTTAGAAATTCCATTAAACAGTAATTTAATTTTTAATAAGTGTAATCTATTGTTCTTCTTTTCGCGTGTTTTATGACCTAACTACTGCTCTTGTTGTTTACATACAAGGACAGAAGGGTCTACGTTAAATTTTCTCTATCAAATGACGAGGAACTTCTTCCTTTAGCCCTCTCATCGGCTAAAATAAATCTAATTTGTACCCAAGAGTACATCAAAGCGTCAAATTGAATCATTTGCAGCGTACACTATATTCCTTTCGATGATGTTCCATTTTCGTTTATTTGCAGGGATGAGAAAATGCCCCAATGATGCTGCATCGAAGCACCTCGTCGCGACGCTCTAGGGCATCGCGGAATATGACGAATCTCAGCTACACGTCGACGATCGCTGGACCAAGAGGACGACGTGCTAGCGTCGCGACCGACAGACCAATTGATTTACCTCAAACAAGTCCACGCGGAACCATGGAGCGATCACCTCGAGGCAGTTTCGTGCCCGACATCGCTCTCGACACCGAAAACGATTACGAGGTTGTTCATAATTGACCCTTTGATCCTTTCCAATACGTTTCCTCCGTTACTCAACTCGTGACAAGTTGAACGGACAATAATCCCCTTTTCCCACATTTAACGCGTTGATACAGGAAACAACGTCTATATGAAATCGAATTCCACGTCGGTCTTGTTACGGTATCTCAACTGACGCAGTGCCAGCGGTCGCAAAATACGTATTGATATAGTGACAGGGGTCGGGTAATACGAATTGACATTCACCCATCGACTTTCCCGAACCACACTCGATACACGGTAGAACTTCGATAATTGCGCGAAAAGGGGTTTGAAAATTCCGCACGCGAGCCTCAAAGTTTGTCAATTAATCAATCGGTTCCATGAAATCTCCCGTTTATAACCTGTATAGTAAAGCGTGTTGCTTTAGTGAAATTTTAGGAAAATGCTCCTGAAATTATCCTACAGCTAATCCTAGAAATTATCCTAATGCTATCCTACATCAAAAGACGTCTACATTTATTTTATTTCTCTTCCGTCGGGGCCTTTCAGAGCACCACCCACAGGACCTTACCGGACCGAGACCAGTACGGATCACGAAATATGCTGAACCAAAAAATAAGTCGCAGCCCACGCAATTCTTTGGTGCCTGAAGATTACTACAGAGGTCCTCGGAACGGAGGACGCAGCCCTCGAAACAGTTTGGTCCCCGATCAAGGATTAGCACCGGACATGTTGTACGGTTCGCGACATTCCTTGGTCCCGGAAGGTCCATTGAGTCCCAGGAACTCACTGGTACCGGATGTTACGCACAACAGAAGCCCGCGCAACAGTATCGCTCCCTTGACCGGTTCAAGAACCTCCTTGATATCGGAAAATGGAAATCAAATTCCTAGTCGCAGTCCTCGCCACTCTTTGGTACCAAGTTCGTCCAGAAGCCCTCGCGGAAGTATCACGAACATGGAACTGGTAGATCGTAGCCCTCAGAGAAGTCCACGAGGTTCGATCGCCTCGGAATGCATGAATCAAAGCCCAAGAAACTCGATCGCTCCGTACGAGCAGATGCACAGGTCATCGCGCGGGAGCATTGGTATGAATGATGTACACAGAGGATCGATCAGTGCTAACGAGGATGAGACAAGGAGTCCGCGAAGGAGCATCAATCCTGACATTATCGATAGAACCCCCAGAGGCAGCTTCGATGGCTTGCCAGAGAGGAGGACCACAAAGGCGACCCTGATGACACAAGATCCGAGAAGGGCTTCGGCTGATCAAGGTAAGAACGCATGTGGTTGATTTACTGATGCGATCGGATATTAGATGATTTTACTATCTTAATTATTTGAAAACCTAACATTAATTTTGTGCATAAGAACACGATGGAATTCTATCCAATTCATTTGTATATAAGAAATTGCCTTATGTTCAGTCGGTCCATTACTATGGCCACGTTCTGCAGGATAATTCGTTAATGAGAAAACAGTATTTCACAGAAATGTTAAACGAGTTATATTAGTAAATGGATTAATTTCATTACTGAGAGTGTAAAACGGTGCAGCGGGATTTTCTAATTTTCGAAATAGTGGACGATAATACCATTTACCATGATGGTTGTATTTTTGAGGATATTAGACACCCGGTGGAGCATAGTCATCTCTGAAACGGTATTATCACGGTGAACGTGTATGCACGTATATGGAAGTTGGCAAGGGTGTTGAATTTTATCCGTAACACGCGTCGCATGGCAAATATTAAAATCGCTCGCACGTATAAATCCGTTCGTGACCCAGTCACCGATACCGCTCTCTGCTCAACGACATAATTAATTGTGTTAATGCTCTCTGATCTATTTCGAGCTAATAAGGATCAATGTATCGGCCGGATACGATTTAATCTTGTCCGTTCGTATCTTGGGAATCTGTGGCAATTCGATGCTCGTTATCGTTCGATCTAACCTGATACGTCGTCTCAAGAGGGTTGTAAATTTCATTCGTTCCACCGATCAGTTTCAAAGATCTTACACCACGGTTTTACGAACGATCCAAGGAACGCCAGTTGAACCTGATAACGTATGATAGATTGGCTCAGATTGATATCAGATTTGATATCTTTATCCGATATATAGAGCGCACCAAGGAGAACTAGTATGACATAATGTAGAATAATTGTAATTATTCAAAAATACAACCATTTCATTTTTCAATTTAAATCATCCACTTACCAGCTTAATATTAATGGTTTCTCATTACTTTTCAAAGTACATATTTTTTGGTTAAACAAAGCCTTCCCCATCGTCATTGAAAATTGGTCAGAAATAAAATTCGAGATCCATCAACGATTCCTCGTTTTCAATTAAGGAGTGGCGTATGTAGGAAAAGAGGAAATGAATGAAGGGATGACATGTCATCGATTAATAATTTACAGAATGTTGTTTACTACCAACTTGTAGGCGTGCTCTCAGAATAATCCAATAAATAGGAAGGTTGCGAGGGCAACGCGAGACAAAACTTTGTTACTCGAGAATACTCAACAAAGTCGATAAAATTGTCGATGCGTTAAGCATTACTGCGCCGTGCTTGCTCCTCTCCCGTTTCCGTGGTAATCGACTCTATTCCGCGAGAACAGATCAGGGATTCGTAAATTGAAAACGTAGAATTTATCAGCACGGAAGCGAGACACCAGTAAGTAAGCTCGTAGGGAGAAGAAAAATTAATAACCGGATTTCGTCGAGTAATCCGTGCCGTATCTTTGAAAACGACTCGCTGGAAAGAAGCATACGTGTTTCGTGTGGAATTATTTCTGTTCTTGGAACCTCATGGTCCAGATTACTTCATAAATCTCTTTGTACTTAATTTTACAAATGCGCATCACATTTAATCGTTAAAAGGAATTGGACCGAATAGATTTACCGAAGTACGCAATCACTTTTAAAATGACCCGATATTTCATGTTTTTTTCAACGGTATGAAAAACTTACTGGAAGGAATTAAAGAGGATCGTTTTTCTGACGTCTCGTCTCAATTTGTAGCGTGTTACTTTTATCGAAGACTTTGTAACACAATACACCACGATCCACAAAAGCTAGGTAGTAAAAAAAGATGCTGGTAAAAAAGGCAAGTGGTTTCAAGATTCAATTTATTTTTTGTTCTTTTTGTTCTTTATCACTTTTTGCCATGGATGTTGATATAACTGATATACATTGAATCAGTAAAAACTTTCTTTATTATTTGAATTGTCTGAGTCCATGATTTAATGATTAACCCTTATACCGTACTGATAAAGTGCTGTTTGATAGCACGCGAAAGCTATTTTGGGTGTAATTAAAGGATCCCCTAACGAGTTGGTGAATTGTTGTTTGCACAGGCATGAACGGCAGTAAAAACTCCTCCCCTTGCCGACTGAAGGAGATAAACTCCGGAAGCGTGAAGTCTGGCGGAAGCACGGTCCAGATCAACCTAGGATGCGGGCCAAGCACTTTCGAGGATTCAAGACGAGCCAGTAGCTCCGTCTCTCAGGTATGAAATATTTCTTATACAAGTAAAATGTAAAACAAACTTTAACAATTATTATTGTAAAGCGATCGAACGTATTCGATGCAAAATAGGAATAGAACCGTCTTATTTCTCTCTAATCCGTTACTATCGTTTCCCATTTTCCACAGTAATTTGTTGCACCAAAGATAAACGCTTTCGCTGTTCATCCGATGGTCGTATATATTTCGACGAAATATTTTCCGACAGTCTACTATTTACGATCGCCAGAAAATGTTTTCTCTTTTGGCTGGTTTATGGAATTCTGTTGGCGTGTAACCCCGAAACTAGCGAGCGGGTTTGTTCGTAACGATACGTTCGGCAATTTCACGATGGGATACGCGCGGGTATCCTTCATCCTGTCGCGTATTCCATGAGTTTCGTGACCTTCCCACCCCTTTTCCTATCTCGTCTGATGAGAAAATTTACGAACTATGTAACGAACTAGACCCAGTCCGAATATTGTGTATGGAATCTGCACGAAAAACCCGCAGGGACAGAAAAATAGCTGGTCGTAAAAAATACTGACGATCCTCGGTCACGATGAACTGCTTTCGGATCGAAAGGGTACTTTATAACTTTATAAAGTGACCCTTTACGTAACGAATATTTACGTTAATAAAGTGTAAATGGTGCTAATCAGAATCAACTCTGTTGATTTTCAGTTTTCGAACGACGAATCCCGTCGACTGTTCACCAACGGTCCCTGTGTACCAAAGAGTACCAAAGAAAATGGAAATGTCAGGGTGGTCACTTATGGTTCGGTCGTGTTTCAATTGAAAGATGCGAATTTGGAAGCAGACAACACTTGTGACTTCGTCCTACGTGCGCTTAAAGTGGTCAGCAGAACCAGGGTGGCAACAGGATGTCTGGTGTGCTTGTCTGCAGTTCCGGTTTCGATGTTGATTTTTGGTAAGTCAAAATTTTACATTTTCAAATGCTAAATCAGTCTCTTTTTATCGTGTACTGTTCGTTACGTCGCGATCACTGCGATAAACGATCTAACGCGAGCCCATAATGAAAATCAAGTAGTACAACCTACGATAAGTCAGACACAGAAATATTATTATCTTCCGCTGCGCGTAGCCTCAATTCGATACAATTTTGATTGTGAAGCAGACACGTAGAACCATCAATTGAACCTGCTATTAGGGGAATCGTTTGCAGACCCCCACGTTCATTACCGCAATTAGCAAGCATGTTCGGAATATTTCAACAACCTCCTACGTACGGCTCGACTTACCGGCTGTCGTCGAACTAGTTATCAATAATTAGTCCCGCAGCTTTGCGAGATATCGCCGCTCTTGATATTATCGTCTGCCTCAGCATCTAGCTATATTCGTCCTCATCAGTGTATTTAATGACTGTCGCAACAGTAATAGAGGGGAAATCCTGAGAATTTCTTCGCGACAACGTACCTACGTGTACGTTTGTCGAGTCAAAGAGCAGAGGGCAATTTTTTATTAACCCTTTTGTAAACTGGCGTACTGCGAGCTTAGAATTAACGCGGGCCGAGAATTACCATGAATAAGATTCCTTTGTCGGCGTTCTCCGGATGGGAATGTATCTCAAGCTCCGTTTGTTGTACCAGAAGTAAATTGACGCGATATATCTTAGCTGGCAACATTGCTCGTTACACGTTCGCTTGATTCGTGAACTGCTTTCATAAGAAAAGCAGCTAACGGTGTATGAAATGCACGCGGCTGCAATTTGCATACGCTTGAACGTTAATGCGATGGAAATGCTCAGGCGATGGTGAAATAGTTTATTAACCTTAGTCGCGCTAATTCCGTTGGGTCAGCTTATCTGCTATAACTACGATATCGTAATTAGTGTAACGCTTATCGAAACGATAGTTTCCTATTCTAATCTGTTATTTTATGTTTCCTCGAGAAAAATTGGAGCTCAGTTTTATAAATTACTGATTAAATATTTTTCCTGTTTCATGTAATTCCGTACACGTGAGCAAATACTTTCAAACGATATTATATATTCTGCAGACGAATTATCGAGTTGGCCTCGTTTCGTCAGGTAAAGAGAACGCGAGTATCAGATACCGTCTGAACAGTGAACAACAAAGAAACTCGTACGATCAGAATTTAGATTCGAATCTGAAAGGAAACCTAAGCAAGGATGCAGGTACCGGTACTCTTATAGCCATGTCACGAAAAATCATTCTCATTTCGAGGCTCGAGGTTTCGTCAGAAGTTCGGGAAACACGGTGCTCGTTTAATCGACTCGGTCAGGTTTATGGCGCACGAATGCTTGACGTGCACTACTTACGATATGCAAGCCCGCTTCATTTTTCGCTAGGTATAGATTGTCGACGGTGAGAAGAGGCGGGGTAAGGCAAGTCGTTAGAACGGCGCATTCACCTGTTCTCCTACCCTTATAGAACGTTCTCCAAATCGATACAGAGCGGTGTCGGTTCGTAGAAACAGGAATTACCTTCGGTGAACGTTCGCACACGCTCTAAAAAATGTATCGTAACCAATTGCTTTGTTTGCATAGGGACGAGTAAAAAATTGTCTTTTAACCAAGATCAAAAATCTTTTGAAAGAACTGTTTCGACGCCTGTTTTGACGCCTGGGGTGATAAGAATTTTCCATTTGATTTAGCAAATATTACCTTGCTCATAAAACTTTGATCTTTCTTCTTCGTATTCTGTGCATTTGAAGAATTATTCAACGATTGTGAGTAAATAATTGCGTGTCAGTTGGGAAGAAGGGGAAAGATTATCGGTGCAAGGGTTCGCATGTTACGTTAAATATCGAAATAGGACGCGACACAGTGAGTGGAAGTCAGGCAACGCCATTATCGTTACATTATTCAAAGCAAACAGCGCGAAAACTTTTTGATATCGATCCCACTCGATTCGCTTGCTCCGTCGACGTGAAAAAAAGAAAACGATGGAGATGTCGTGGACAACGCGAGGAATCTCGTTGTGTTTCAGGATGGAAATTCTTCAACGAATGTCCACGGGAACCGAGAATACCGATTTACATGGTAATCGGCGGAACGTTCGGCTCCATGTTCATGACTTTGAGCATCTACTCGCAGATACGATCAAGAAGGCCAGAGGTGGTCATGGCGCAACCTCAAGAACCTCAAATCTCTTTCACGAAATTGATCACCGTCGTCTTATCGTTCTTCCTACTCGGCTGGTTCGTGATGGGTAAGTTTCGGGAGAAATTCAAGATTATTAGATTTTCAACCTTCCTGTACACGATTCTTTACGGTTCCTCCTGGTACCCGGATGACTTTTATCTTTGTCGAGTTTGTTTCTCGCGGGAAACGGATCGATCAGAAGCACGCTCAAGGCGGTCGTTCTCCACGTCCCGTGACCCGAGCGTGCTTCGTTTAACTGTCCTCTCATTTTAATCCTTTTATCGCGAACACCGTCTTATGTACGTACTTGAAAACATTTCGCATTTACTAGCATTGGTTGGCTTGAAAGGGAATTACAAAATGATTCATAGTGAGTATAAGGTTGGAAAGAACCGAGGATGAAGCTCAGATTCAAAATGAAAAACCTACACCGGTAAGAAAGTGTACAGTAATGCGTTTGCAGCTAAATTTATGTATTTTATGGTATATTATTTTTACCAAATGTCTTTCCAGTTATTTTAAAGCACGAACTAGAAAAATTGTTCCTTATCCGAAATAAAATGTGTATCTGTTGTACGCGTGAATATTCTGCGGTTCGTATAAATTTCATATACCAGGCCATACGTGTCGTAAAAGAAGCGAATAAAGTTTAGTTGCTCGTTTCGAATACTCGTGTTCCGCTGAAAGCGGAAACCGATCGATCGCGTTCTACTCGCGGGTAATTGGTCCGACATAGGTGATAAGTTGCTTCGATGTAACCTAATTTTCGTTCGTGATAGCACGTGGTCTACATAAGCGGCTCGCGGCTACGTTTATACGCGTAATTACTTCGATCCGAATGTAACGAGCATCTAATTTCAACTTTGCTGCTCTACCTTTTTACAGGTAACACAAGCGACTCGTTATCGCGCTCCATTTTAAAGTATTTGTACCATTTAAGATAAAATTAAAATTTAACGTGACTCGCTAATTTTCTGTTTTCTGATTGGTTTGTCGTAGGAAATTTCTGGATTCTCAGCATCGAATGGCCAAAGAACGAGTCCACTTACTACGCACCGAACACTCATTGTAAAAATCGTTTGTATATATTCGCGCTGGTGCATTTGATCGTGATATACGTGGTGTTCGCGATCACGTTTCTCGTGATAATCGTGTTGGCTTCGTTCAGAATCCTGGATTGCCCTCTGCCGGAAAGGTAAGCGATTTAACAAGCATCGCGAGTTAGAAATGATCGATGAGTGGAAAAATGATCGCGTTGACTTGTCGACGGCGCGATATCACGATATCATGGAACTATGAAATTCGACGAACATGATTTGTAGTTTACGATACGATCAACTGTCACGTCCTATATTCGTCCATGCAAACTCGTATACGCATTGTTTTTAATGATTTCTGACACGTGTATCCTCGACAACAGTTATTATAGATACGCGTACGTGCAAAGGATTAATATTTTACCGATTTGATAAATAATTGATTACAGCCTACTTGTCACTTCCACAACATTTCAGCGTGCCGAACACTTTTCAGGTATAGTCTAGGTGCAAAATAGTAGGTCAACGAATTTAGTCGCGTGTACGCGCTGGAGGCTCATAAATACCAAAGAGGTCACGCGCTCACGATGAACCAAGCGTTTTCCGTTTCGCGTGTTCACGTAGAACCATCGGTTTTTGCTCCTCTCGTTTCCTCTTATCTTCGCGTTAACCGTGGATTCGCGTGATCGGAGAAATCGAGAGAAAGAATTACCCGACACGCGCGTCCAACTTTGTTCGCCGACTGACCTGGTCGCGATTAGCATCGACCACGAGATTCTGGCTCGCGCCACTTTTCTTTCCGCGCTAATTGCCGCGTCGTTGTGGTAAACTCGTTTCGATGTTTGCGTGTTAGAAAACCCTAATCGCTACCAGTTACAGTTGGCTTTGTTAATTATAATAGCTGCGATATTTAGAAGAACAACCTTGCGTTTGTGTATAGAATATATAATCTCGGTGTAGAATGTTGAAAGGATTTCCGTGTTTGCAATTCAATTTTCGCGACTATACGTCAGCCTGTTTCCATTCTCCTTCTTGCAGATATAAATAACCACGGCGGTCTAGCTGTTTGAGAGCTGCGGTACCCGAGGAAACGTGGACGATCTGCGTGGAGGGTAAGGAGAAATGTGTCGTTCAGAGGCACGCTTTGAAAACTGTCGTGGAACAGAACGAGTGCAACACGGAACCGAATTTCGCTAATGTTTCTAACGACAAAGTTGCTCCCGAGTCTATTCCAGAAAAACGTGATTTCATGTCCTCCTGTATTAATGGAAATGGAATGCAGTCCGAAATGAATACCGACTACAACGTTGAATTGGAGAAACAGCAAAAGGTTGAAGCGACTTTTGCTTCGAGTATACACAAAGTTGCCCCATAATTCGTCGTGACTTAGTCGTTCAAATCGTAATACAAGATCGTAGAGAATAATTGTCGAATTCAAAAGTGCCATGACTCGGAAGAAATTCTTTGACAAAATGAAGATTCTCTTTAAAAAAAATTGAAAAGCTACATAGATCAGACTTATTCGGAAAAACAAGAATTTTTCGCAAACCCAAGGGCGGTAATGGATACGTTTAGAGTCGATATTCTGTGTAGGTGGGCAAAAACCATGCGTTTCTCGAATTTGTCGACAAAATCGTAGCTATCGTGGCTTTCGTGGAATTCAACGAAATACGTTAGCAAAGAGGGAAAATTCTGAACGAAACCCTGACCGTGTTACGTATCGTTCGAACCATCCAAAGCGGAACCGAGCAAAAAGAAAATCGAGAAGGCTCAATACCAGAAAAGAGGGGATTATGGAAGGAGAACGAATCGAGTTCGATCGATTTCTGGAAAACGAATGGATGAGAAAGGTTATTGGTTCTTTATTGCAACGAGACATGGGTGTATACGTATGTAACGACCTGCCACTCGATCTAACGTCCGAATCCACTTGATCGAATCGAATTCGACGATATACCGCGGCTGCCAATGCGGATATACATATATATATATACGAAACATCCTCGACAAGGTTTCCTTTCAAACGCTTTAATGCGGTGAAAGAGAAGAAAAGACATCCGAACAGCTAACGAAGCAAACGCAGCAGAAAATTTGTCACGGGATTGCTGCAACTTTTCATTTTCTATTTTTCTTCATGTATGTTCTAAGGGTTTCGCGAAGCGACTCGGATACCTGACGCTGGGAGAAATTACGTAGAGGGTTCCCTGAAGAGAATTAGCAAAAGGAGAGTTTACACGATGGAGTTTGAGGTTGCAGAACATCCAGGAGCTTAATGGTGAAAGGGGTAGACGATTGCTTCTCGACCCCTAATGCGTAATGTTTTTTGGAGAACTTAAAAGGTAAGCGACACGCTTTCGTTGTTCCTTTGAATGCTTCCGGGTTCGTTCGAAAGCTTACGCTTGCTCAAGCATATATCGAGCTCGGTATAATACGTGGTAAAGTTCACAGAAAAGTGTGTACACTTTTTTGTCAAAATGCATACCTTCCCCCCAGATTTATTGTCGTGCTTTCCGTGCATATCGTCTCGATGACGTTTAATTGTTACGTGAAAATCCGTACAAAGAGATTTTGTTGTACATACTACTTTTTATAAATGTTTTTATCGGCGGTTATGGGGTTCCATTCATACTGTTTGTCACGCAACTGATGCCTATGTCCATCATCTTCCACAAGGCATCGCGTTGTCAATTGGTGTCAGCAAAAAGTTATGTGTTTCTTTCGTGTATCAGCTCGATGCAATTCTCTAAAGCCTAACTAATAATATGTTGTCTGTACACTAATTTAAAAAAAGAGATCGTGTCGTGTTGTGTCGTTCCTTTCATAGTTACATATGGTAACGCGTGATCCGTAATAATCCGTTCGAAATGCCATCCCAGAATCCAAAACTTGATTCTCGTCTGATTTACAACTAAAGTAACATAATACTAACTACCGTCGACTAAAAAAAAAAACGGGACACGAAGATGTCCCCGTAAGGAAGAAGAGAAAGAGATAAATAATTGTCAATTAAATCAATGCATCGGAGATTTCATTCCATTGTCATGGAACACGTATAACCGATGACAATTTGATGTACACACATATATATATATATACATGTTCTATATATATATATATATGTAAATATAAAAATATGCATACAAGCTGATACGTTAACGTAATCGTTATCAAAGCATCGACCAAATCAGAATGGGAGAGGTGATAGATATCAAAAATGAATAGTGAATAATTTGTATTTCTCAAAAATTATCCACTATCTATTTATGATGATTGATTAAATTTGAAATTTCATATGATAGGTGTTAACACGTTCACTGTGAACTTATGATCGTAGATATTCGACGGATGAATGAAATAAGTTAAAATAATATGAACTATGATATAAATAGTAATAAGAATGGTAATATTAATTATGGGTTCGCAGTGAACGCGTTAAAAGAAAATTGCGTTCAGGAAGCGTGAATCTCGTTTGTCATCCAAATGACAATGTTTGATAGAAGAGTCATCGAGACACGTTCGACGTCCATGATCGCGAGACGATTCGAAAACGGGTCCATTCTTAATCGTCCGTACAAATAGATGTTACCGATCTGTGCCAATATTTCGGCACGGATCATCGTATTAATCTGTATCGTGTACACTTTGTCGATGTAAATGTGTGTGAATCGTCTCCTGTTAGACAATTGTCTTCGATAATCGTGATCGTTCTTCTGATTCGTGATGAAAGTTGCGAATAGATCATCAAAATTTCAAATATTTTTTCCTTTAATTATTCGTTCTCGTTTTGATTCGTTTAGTTTAATTATCCATTCACATTCAAATGCACGAAGCTGGAAGATAATAATAAAACGCGTTTAATCGGTGCAGAGATTATTTTATTTTCGGGAAATTCGAATGGTACGGAGTAAAATTATATTTTATTTCCAATCAATCGAGCGCGTACACCCACGTCGATTTTACGATTTGCGAATGAATGTAACCTGGCAAAATATCGTTCAGTAAATAAAAGTCTGAGAATCTCGGTAAACAAACATGAACGATTTTCAAGAATCAACAATGAAATGTAAACTGATGAATCAATGAAAACAAGTATCAATGAATGCGTGGGAACAACTGGTGGGTGTAACATATAAAAAACAAAGGAACAGAAGAAACGATCAGTTAATGAAACGCGTCGAAACAAGGGGCAAGATTATTTTACATGACACACATATACACTAATTGCGTAGATGATGGGAGCAAAGAGAATTTGAGGGAAAAGTGACCTGAATTGCAGTTACGTCTGTACTTTATCGCATGTCCAACGTTTTGAAAAAATGCTGTCAAAAATATGGGACCACCTTTTAATGCTTATAAAGAAAAAAAAATAGAAAAATTAAATTTGTGGTGCTCAAATGCAATTTGCTAATCTGTCAAAAAAGTGAACAACGTTTAGCGAATATTTGACTGGAAGGAAAAATTAAATATCAAAAATTAATTTTTCTCCATCGATATAAAAGTCACAAAAGATTTTAAACGTTTTTCAAATTTTAATTTGGAGGTGCCATTGGTGGTCCCCAAATTTCAGCCAGCAGTAGAAAATAAATGTTCCCTTGAAATCTCGCGAAACGGCGTTTCATAAGAATCTTTCACAAAATAACTAGAGTAAGAGTAATCGTATAAGTGATTTCGACAAAGGTTCGCTCGCAATTTATTTACCAAACGAATGCTCAACTTTCTTCGGCACTCGATTGTTTCTGCAATCTTTTTTCATGGTTTCGTTCGTATCATGCGACTAAATCGCAGACGTAAGTGTAGCCATCGAACCTTTTCGATTCAGTAGTCGATGAATCCTTGTTTGTATCCCGAAGAGTCAACGAAACGTACAATTCTGATAGTTGCGATGATGTTTCACATAGCTGGAGCGCATTGAAGTCCTTATCAGTTGTGTGCGAGGTAGGCACACGCATTGAATGATCAATTTAGATCATCATCGTCATTCGCATGCGTGTGCACGTGGATGCATGGAATCGCGAACGTGCAACAATTGCTAGAATTTCGACAGGCTTCGTACGGGCCTGTCAATTTTCCAGATAGCACCAATGAAAAATCGTGGAAACCTGGTACGATCAAAATTCACGGTATACCATTTTGTTCTGAGAAAATGCTACCGAGCAATCGACGAAAAACTGACTCGATTCGCTAGAAAGTTGAATTGAGGCAACTCTGATAATCTGATGAGAGTCGTCGAGCAAAAACGAATCGCGAGAAACTAAATATTCTCTGGCAGATGAGAATCTCTGAAGTTTCAATTAAAACATTGCACGACAAAGATGAAATTAAACCAGGGTACATGCGTTCACGATTTGATTTAACGTTTCCACGAATCCCAATGGCTGATAAAATGGACGTAGTGGTAGGTGTACGTATCCAATTGAGTCGAGAAAGGGAAATTTTGTTATTCAGCGAGCGACCAAGCTACGATAACTTTCCTTTTCATGACTTTTCCCGCTAGATTATAAGGATTAACAATTGTGTTGATATATCTAATGTTAACGTGTCGTTGGATTTATATAGAATAGAGAGCTTATTTATTTTTATACTGTATGGTTTGATAGCGTCCAATATATTTAATTAAACAACGACGAAACATGCTATTTGTTATTATCGCGATGTTTCTTCGTTTCATCGTATTTGAACAGGTCCCGTGCCACCAGTGGCCCACATTGTTTATTGCAAACATGATTTTAATTAAATGAGATATCTCACTGTTTGGTTTAGCTCTAGAAGTGAAACGAATACATAACAAAAATGTAGCAAATTCGATATTGGACGAATGTTAACATTAAGAAACACTTATAGCCTCTACATAATTTGTACTTGTAAAGGGCATAAGTACTTTTTAAAAAATAGGTGGCATGGAACACTTGAATTTAACAGATTGATTTCACCAATAATTAACGACCGTCGTATAGCTAATTCATTATCGTACGTGTATGTATAATATACATATAATACGTATCTATAATTATATGCGTGTGTCTCGTACGTAGAATCACATCGTGTCGTTTTTTCGTCGATCCTTAGAGATGAATACTTGAAACGCGTATTGTTTAGCCGTGTAATAACTATTTAGTAGTGATTAGGATAATTTGCACGCAATTGTGTCGCGAATCGTGGTCCAGGCTTTAACGTAGAATTCACCATCGTAACACTTACGAGTGTTTCCTTCTTTCGAGCCGGAAGTAGCATCGAGAACCGTGCGATCCACCTGTCAGGTTCAATTTTCGACTATCACCGTTACTCGGCGTATAAATGGTAACTCCTTTAACGTTCTTTAAATTAATTTCCTGTTTCTTCTTCTTCTTCTATTATCATTTGTTGGAAATGAAATGGTTCTCGTCGCTGTTTACCGAATCGATCGAAAACTATCGCAAACATCGATTACATTTTTCTATACCATTTGCACTGTTCCTACGAACAACTGTGAATCGTATCGTATCGATATATACCTCACAATCGTCCGTGTGTAAAAAGAAATTTAAAAAAAAAAAAGAAGGAAAAAGAAAGAAAAAGAAGCGATCGCGTCGTGCGCTAAATCGACATCGAAAACGGTACCTTCCCTTCAATGTATGGCATCAATTACGATGTCGGGATGTTCCCGACGCAACTGTTAATTGGACCGTCCGGTTAATATCAGCGTAAAACAACGGAATGGATAGATACTGATCAACGGTATACGTTGCGGGAAACGTGTACGGGAAAGTACTCTGCGATTACCAGATAACCTCGTGCCGCTATATTGATTTTCTTGGTCGATGGAGGACGCCGGAAGAACGCTTTATCTACTTCCCCTTTTATTAAGAATATCGTCGCAAGGAGTGTAAGAAATGATGACGCTTGTTTCTAAAATATGGGCATATACCAAACAACTTATCGTTCGAAAATTAACACCTCCATGTGAACAGTGATATTAATTTCGGTATAAATTTCAGTAAACCTACAAAATATTAATTCCATCTATTATTAAAATAAATTTTCAATCTGTCTGTATGTTTATATACATCGATGCCGTCGATAAAGCGTTATTCGAGCGAGCACGACGCACACGCTTTCGTTAGTCCCTCTCATTGACCATTAAACGTTCATTAAATGTTCACTCATTTTCTCCAAATACGAACGGGTCCTCGTATCGGGTCTCCCGAGGGTATTTTATCTGTCTGATCAACGAACAGCAACAAAGTCGCTCGAACAGTAGCGAAAGAGATCGCTCGCTGCACTGGGAATTATCCTGTTCAATGACCCAGCGGAACATTCGGATCTCGCAGAGGTATATCGATCGCGGCTTAATCAAAGTGCATTCGATTGCATCGAGGAGGAGACTTCGAATCGTGGACTCGTTCCGACGTCAGTTGCATCTACGACGAAGACTTCCGAGGGTCCAATCACTGCTTTCGAATAACCATCATCAGCGAGAGACAACATTCTTATTGAATAATACACTGCTTTCCAAGCAACAAATCGCATTCAAATCGCGTTCGAAAAATCAGCGATCAATGATGGCAGGATGACGTCGCTTCGAGATCGACCTTAATAGGTGGTTGTAGAAAGAATGACCAACCCCCAAGAGTATATCGAGAAATATTTTTTTAGAAACTCACCAGACGTTTCCAAGTACCAAGCGACTTTTTATCAATCGAGACCTCGAAGCGTTGATACATCCGATCGAGCGTTTGTAATTTTTCTGCAAAAACGTTCGCTGATTGTTCGAGCGATCGGGCTAACATATTGTCTAACGTAACATATTGCTTTTTAATGGTAGATGTACATCGATAACCGTTCTAACCGTGTTACAAGTTGTGGTCAAGTACTTGCTTACACCGAAGGGACGTGTTCCAAGAAGTCGTATGCATCTTCCGTGAGAAATGCGCGCAGTACTTTTTATTCCTTCTTTATGACACTTTATCTACGGGTGTATTTTTAATTTTAATGATTAATTGATGATTATTCGAGGAAGTAGGTTCTTTGTAGCATAATTTATTCTACTGGAAGTGTTAAATGCAGGCGAAACAATGCTTGTGGTTCATTATAATTCATTAGTGGTTGCGTACATAAATTGCCCGACGGTAAAGTGTTAACTTTACTGGTTACATTAGCGTGCTTATAATTGCATAGCAGCATCGCGAGGCTCAGTTTCCTGGGAGTCGTTTCGAAAACTGTATAGCCCAGTTTCCTTTCGATTTTCAATAATTTAATTCCAAATACATCAAATATTTGAGTTTTAAAATAATTGTTTAAAATAATATAATTAAATTACGTTTACTTTGATGAGGCTATATATTCTGTTGTATCAAACTGAACGTTTGACAACATAAAGTTGAAAATACATCCAGAATGTCTATAAAAGCAGCTCGTCAATATATATCCGTTTGAAATAAATTCGCCAGCGAACTGCAACGTATTATCTGCACAGAACAGGCAAGGATGAGCTGCATATAACATCGGTGGTTTATCTCGCTGCATGTTTCGTTAAATTAAATTATCCTCGAACTGATGAATCCTTACCCAGTATATTCGTTAACGTGTATACAAAATACGGACTGCTCTGTAGCTTGCTAATCAAACGCGATTAGAATCTGCGCGTATTTCATTTACGTGATACACACACACACACACACGCACAGACACCTACACGATCCATAATGAAACCGAGAATAGCATAAGAGAAAAGAAACGGAGTAATTGAGAAAAAGATTGGAATGCGTTCCAATTGAATAAACTGAACAGTGCAAGTGCACGTTGATACATATATCTATTTCGTCGTAGAATGAAGAACGACTGGTTCGTAATTGGAAGACAGATTTGTTAATTGTACACATTAAGTTTACGACACTTTTCACCATTCCATTATGAGCAAAACGATTGTAAGCGGTATGGTGAACTCATATTGTGACCCATTTATAACGTAACCGCCGAGTACTGAGAATAAAAAGTGTCTAAGTGGTACATACCTGATGTGTACACGTATATCTCAGCCCTGAAAAGGTACGATCCTTCTAACCTAGACCATTGTCCATTTTCCAGCTTCTCCCTTCCCCTGGCAATCCATCGCAACGAGCTACCCTGATCGTCCCCTGTTATTGTTCAAGATGGAAGGTTTTAATGCAAGATCTTCGAAGGTAAGTTCAAGATTATTTGTAATTAAAAATAAATTGGGTTGTTTAACAAATTTGTAGTGAAATTTAATAATAAGGTGGAGGTAATTTTAATGCACATTTTAGTAATCCTACGTTATGGTAGATATTTTTAAATCATGGTAGCTAAGGGTTAAATATAATAACTATCAAGGGAGTGCATTGAGTTTTCGCTCAAAACAGAATACGTAATAAGAAAAAGGGAAAGAAGAGACAGTACCCTTTTTGTTAGAAATCAGCTTGATCC